CAATTCTAAATGCCTGGCCATGCACTTGGACACGAGAGCCTTCTTACATCCTCTCACCTCAATAGCTCTCTATTCTTGACACTTTGGACCACCTTTCTCTTTCCCACGTTTGGTCTACCCAGCACTGCAACATCACCAGGATTGCTACTGCGACTTTATGCGGTTGAGAGAATAATGTTTATGGATGATGTGGTCCGGATGGTATTAATCAAGTACGAGAATTCGTGTTTTTCTTCAAATCCTTGAAATGTGATTAATTCGATCTAGTACACCTAATCTATACATATATGCTTGAGTTTGAGAAAATATTATATAAACCATAATTTATGGGTGATGTTGTGGACCGAATAGGAGTTAGAGATTTGAAAAGTGAATAGAGTTTTGATGTGATAATTGGCCTTTGGATGGGCTCGGGCCTAATATGTTGTCCAAGCTCACCCATCACATATTATTTATAATAACTTTTGGGTTAGGCCACGACTGGACTAAGATCGGAATAGGCAGCCTATTAATCTCTCGACTCTAGGTGGGCTTACATCTAATATATGAGCGATAGTATCAATATTCTTTTTTCCCCCATTGGCCAGAATAATATCTATAATTCAATTGTTACGATTGCGGTGCCTTAGTATATATGAATATTGAATTGATGTACTTTTGGAAAAAAACAACTAAATTGTGGACTTTGAAAACATCCAAGGGAGGAACCCTAAATCAATGGAATGGGTTTTCGGCTACGTCGGCGCTTCTTGTTTTCGTCGTCGTCCGCTTCTCAAGTCTGTGCAATTATGCTTAATATCCTAAGTTATCCAATTTTGGAATGGTGCTATAAACAATTTTATATCTCAACACCCGAATCTCGTGGCAATTTCTTTAAGTGTCTAAACAACTAAATTTATACTATACATATATGGATGGATGTATATTAATGCTGCAGAGTGGGGACATCCTTTTTTGTTTTTTTATTCTTTTCTCTATATATACATTGGAGGCTATTGAAATGATCTGTTGAACACACTGGTCATTCTCATACTCCAATACTAAATCAATTTTACATGTTACAGGCAATCAAATCTTTAGCCCCACCCAATTCAATAGCATGGACCCACGATAACACGTCAAACCATTAAGCTCAATTTCATATTTGCATGTCCAACCTTCAAATTCCAACATGCCAATCCAATCCTATAAGCGCAAGAAGAACAGAGAGCCATAAGAAAGAAGCATCAGCATAAGAATTGATCTGTCCATGGGGTACTTAGGAAGTCAGCCTCATTCTCAGCTCAAGAAAGAGAATGGTCATCACAAAATTGTGCTGTTTCCTTTCCCCCTTCAGGGCCACATCAGCTCGATGCGTCAACTTGCAAGCATTCTTCATTCCCAAGGATTCAACATCTCCATCGTGCACACCCAATACAACTCCGCCAATCCTCACAACTTCCCTCACTTCACCTTCAACTCATTCCCTGATGGTCTACAAGAAACCGAGTACGTCTCGGAATCCGATCTCCTAGCTTTCATAGTACGCCTTAATGTTGGTTGCACCGTCCCATTTCGGGATTGCTTGCAAAAGGTCTTGTGTGATGGCTTGGAGGATCGCGTCGCTTGCTTGATAACTGATGCCGTTTGGTAATTTTCTCAAGCAGTCGCGGACGAGCTTAAGATCCCGAGGATTGTGTTGAGGTGTACTAGTATCTCTTCAATTTCTGCTTTCTCTGCCTTGTCCGCTCTGAGAGAAAAGGGTTGCCTCCCAATAAAAGGTGTGCCTTCTAGCTAAATTATTAAAAATCTTTGCATGTCTCAGCAATCTGGATTCTAGAGGCAAGTGGTATTTGTATTTTGTACAATATGACCAACCTTGTATGCTTTCAGTAGATTTCATGTGCTTGTTTTACTTCCATCTTTCTCCACTTAAATTTTACTGCTTTGCAAACATCTTTCTCGGATACTCAATGGAACAGCATGCCTTTGAAACTTCCATATATACTGTATGGTGGGCTGCTTTCTTTGTCCAGCACTAAGCAACAAATTCGTACTTTACACTTTAGATTAGACATAAAGATTAAGTTTAATTTGGACTCAGCTGACTGATGACCGTGGGTTTAGTAAACAGAAATAACACGGTGCCAAAATGGTTTCATACCCAACAGCCAACACTGAGGTATCCTCAAGAGTTGAGTTTTCAACAAAAAAGAAAAATAATTGTCTTTACAAATTTGCTGCTGTATTTCATGTTATGTCGAATGCATAATGACTCATTCTTTTCTGATTTTACAAATTTTATCAAAAGCATTGATGATCGATGTGTGCATGTTAGTTTGATTTGTCGTCAGCTTATTTGTGTGGAAGTCTAACTGATTACACTGCTCTTTGTGCCATGCATAGTGTCACTCTGGGACTAATATCTGCGCTCATCTCTTATCTAGAACTGGAAAATGTTTGATCCCATGTTGTTCTGCGTTAATTATCCAAGTTGTATATAGTAAAAGGGAAAAGTAGGACTATAGGCCATGTTTTTCAACTCAAGAAAGAGCATTGACTGCTTCCTTTTGTTTCTCTGTTAGATTCCGAACTGGACAAGGCTGTTCCCGAAGTTCCACCTCTCAAAATGAAAGACCTTCCAGTTGTCAACACAAAGAACCCCGAGGATCTCCAACAGAAATTAGCAAACATGGGCAGAGAGACCAGGGCCTCCTCTGGACTTATCCGCAATTCCTCTGAAGAACTCGAGGGGACAAAACTTGCCGAAGCTCGGCAAGCCATTCCCATTCCTATCTTCGTGATTGGTCCATTTCACAAGTACTTTCCAGCCTCTTCGAGCAGCTTGCTGGTGCAAGACATGAGCTCAATCTCCTGGCTGAAGAAGCAAAAGCCCAAGTCAGTCATCTATGTGAGCCTGGGAAGCATTGCGATGAGGCCAAGTTCCTAGAAATAGCATGGGGGCTAGCAAATAGCGAGCAGCCCTTTTTGTGGGTCATCAGGCCTGGATCAATTTGCGGATTGGACTGGCTCAGACGTTTGCCGAGCTCGTTACTAGAGATGTTAAATGGAAGGGTTCATATTGTGAAATGGGCACCGCAGCAAGAAGTGCTGGCTCATCAGGCCATCGGCGGATTTTGGACTCATTGTGGTTGGAACTCGATGATGGAAAGCATTTGTGAAGGTGTACCGATGATTTGTATACCCTCTTTTGGGGATCAAAAGGTGAATGCAAGTTATGTGAGTGACTTTTGGAGGGTCCGGTTGCATTTGGAGGGTAAGCTTGAGAGAGGCGAGATAGAGCATGCCATTAGAAGATTAATGGCGGATTCAGCAGGCGAAGCTATTAGGGATAGAGCAGTGAGTTTGAAGGACAAGGTGGATCCGTGTTTTTAAGGAAGGGGGTTCCTCATATAGGTCTCTTGACAGCTTAACTTGTTACCTATAGTCATTGTCAGACTCTGCTTTTGGAGGTTAAACTCCTACTAGGAATTGTCTTCCAATTCTTGTTCCCATTCCTTTTATTTCATGATTATTATTATTATTTTTTTTGTAACCGAGGTGTCCGGGCCAGCTTGCGTGCACCTCGACTATTCCTTGGGAGAGACTAGCACAGCAACCCACCGTCATGGCCCCCCACTTAAATCACAAGTGCTCAGCTGGGGAATCGAACTTGAGATCAGTGCGCCTAACCACACAATCCCAAGTACGCCCTAACCAGCTAAGCTACCCATGGGTGGGTTATTTCATGATTATTAGTACTCTCATAATAGTAAAAGTTTGAATCTTGAAGATTATTGTAACCTATAGTTTGCCATCAGTTTATGTACTGAGTTGAAATTGTTAGCTTTTCCTTTGATAGATCTCTAGCATTTACAAGAGTTTTTTTTGTTTTTGTTTTTTTTTTGATGACCCAGGAACCCCCCGCACGGCCGACAGCCGGAGGGGTAAACCTGGGGTGACTCTAGCATTTACAAGAGTTCATCGCTTCCTTTCCTACTTTGTCGTTGCTGAATTTTCTGTCTATGCAAGTGCATGGCCAAAACATTCAGCGACTAAAATCAATCCATTACCTGGTGATTATGACTAACATTTAATTAAGTGAATCTATGCGTTTTATCGTAACTCTCTGGTAGCTTTAAGAATCAAACTTCTTCATTTCTTGAAAACACTTGTTATAGTTTGTGCTTTACACTTCTAATTGCATATATCGTGCTATCTTTGTTTAAGAGAAAATATTGTTTCCTTGAGCGTGTCCTTCAAGCAAGCTCAATGCAAGCAATCAAGGCCACTGTAAAATGATCTTTAGGTGAAAGCACCTATAACAATTCGAGGAACTCAATCTCAATTTAGTATCCTGTAGCACAAATTTATATGGTGTACTAGTGAGAAACAGCGTTGCAAGGACGGGACAGCGGCAAGAAAAGCAATTGGTCTCCGAAGGACAGGAAGTATCCATTGCTTACATCTGAGTTTGCAGAGCGTTTTTCGTGATTTTTTGTTTTTTAGGTCTACGTGGACCTGATAGTAAGACAAGGGCAAAAAGACACTATAAGTGCCATAAGTTATGTACGGAGATCACTTTGGTACCATAACTTTTTTTCGGATCATTTTGGTGCCAAGTCGGAGGAAAAGAGATCACTTTAGTGACTTCGGCCAAAAAAAGCGCCACGTCAGATTTCCGGAAAGTCATGTTAGCATCGGAAATTAATAAAAAAAGAGCCACGTCAGATTTCCGGCGGCCATATCAGCATTGGCACTAAAGTGATCGTTTTTCAAAAAAGTTGGCATCAAAGTGATCCGAAAAAAAGTTATGGCACCAAAGTGATCTCTGTACACAACTTATAGCACTTATAGTGTCCTTTTGCCGTAAGACAAGTATATCAAACAATTAATGCTAATTGACCACAGGTCGGGGTCGATCCCCACTTCTAACACAATATGAAGAGTGAGATTTTGAAAAGTTTGCCCATCAAACTTTTACTGAAATACAAGGTTACCCTGTCAAAAAGTCATCAAAATCCATAGAATGCGCAGCCATACTAACACGGATCGTATTATTGCCTCTTATTTTTTTGGAACATCGAATGTTCGATCACAATGAGATTACAGGGTTCGAAATGACAAGGCATTTATGGCACTAGGAATGCGACAATGGGGCTTCTTACTTGATGTACCCCATCAGTCCATGTTACAGAGGCAGAAAGCATGAAGTTGTTTAACTTCCCTTCAACCATTACGCTGAACGGCAGTTTCTGTTCAACACTTGAGAAAGTTAAGACACTGGGTATAACTGTGACCTTGATCCCAGTTGGAGCTTTAACGACAGAGGTGTATGTTGATGTAGGCGATCCGACATTTGTCACAATCCTTGTAAAGGTGCGATTAAAGGCCTTCGATAAAGTAGAAAGTGCAAATGATGGATAATTCAGGTCCCAAGCTGCTGTTCCATTGTTCAATCCCGAGCAAGAGCTACTATCACCTGTGACCAATTGCAATGTTTTTGTGGTGTAATTCTGTCCGCATAAGAAGTCGACATAATCAGTTTCATCGGCATCATACAACAAGCCAGGATTTAGCGATTGGACGGGATCAATGTGGCCAGCCCCATATGCGAATTCGGCTTCAGAGTTGATGTCCGCACTCATGGGAAGAGCTAGAAATTATTGAGAAATGAAAGTGAATCAGACCCGATAGATGTCCATATTATGAAACATGAAAATTAAAAGCTTCCTGGAGGTCATTGTGCTCTTTGCACAACCCCATTTGAAAACTTACTAACTAGACCTGCATTCTAACGAGTGTCTGTTAGTGATCCTAATTTTTACTGATGACAAATTGATAGTACCGTCATCAAACCGGATTAGTCAAGGTATTCACTTAGACATGCATTGAGTAATCAATACATTAGACATCGCATAGCAGCATTGGGTGTATGCTTTCAAATGGTGCGCCATTCGACCAAAGACACATAGCTTTTCATGTATCTTTTTTTTGCCACATTATCCTTTGTTCTACTTCAAAACTGTTAATCTAGCCTTAAGAAATTGAATTTTTACAGCAAGATAATGTACATTACCAGTGGTCATAAGAGCAGACTTAATAGCAGCAGGAGACCATGTGGGGTGGAATGACTTAATGTAAGCTGCGATTGCAGAAGCGTGTGGACATGCCATCGATGTCCCTGATATAATGTTATAGGGTACAAATCTGTTATCTCCCTGAACCCCCGAAACCGGACTGACCAAAGACCATGCAGCCAAAATATGAACGCCTGGGGCCGCCAAATCCGGCTGTAATTAACAAGATATCTCATATTATTGTTACAGGTGTACCAAACAAAGTTCCGTGTCAGTTCATACAAGTCTCCATACACAATCTTGTAGACTAACCTAACGTGTAAAATTACCTTAAGAATATCAAGTGTAGCTGGGTTTGGACCCCTCGATGAAAAGGACACCACGTAGGGTGCGAGCTTATCGGGTCCCTCATAGCTCTTGAATATGGTCGCCGTTGGGTCGCTAAGAGAGTTTTATACGAATTTCAAATCAATTTAGTGTTCATGACATTGGCATTTTGGATTAACTGATGCTACGAAAGGTGAAAAAATACAGAACGAAAGGGAATAGAGAAGAAGAAGAAGACCTGGTGGTGTTCATGTACGAGTAAATTTCCTTGCCAGCCTCTGGGTCTAGGTAAGATGAGGGTATGGGGAAAGAGCTGGCAGCGTCTTTGGGTCCATCGTCTTGCATCACAGCACCAACAGCACCAGCAAAGAATGGTCCTCTTATTTGAAGAGTATCACAAAACACGATTTTGCCCTTCACCAAGTTGGAATCCAATGTACCACGAAAGCAATACCTTCAAATAGGAATTCGTCTTGGGTGACTTGATTGCAAAACGCACCGAACTTAGTGACCGCTAGTGAAATTTACTAGACTTTCGTGATTGATTACCTGGATATGGACCCATTGTACCCAGCAGAGACATTGGGAGCATTTGCTCCATAAATTATTGGATACATGTCACTTTTGAGATCAAAGGTGTTTATGGAGATTCCCTGGCAATTCGATTTGACACACCGCGTGTTAGGTACATAGAAAACGAATCTTTTACTAGTGCTAGTCAGGAGAAAATTTTGTACAGATTAGTCGAACCAATCACAACGAGATAACTTTCTTACCTCGTAACTCTTGCCACTACCCAATAGCACTTTAGTAAAGAACTTCCTGTCGATGGTACTAGCAGCGACCGAGAGAGACCATGGCGAGTAGTTAGTGATGGAGGCAAGAAGGGGTCCACCATTGCCTGCAGAAGTTGATGTGAGTATACCCTTTCGCATGGCATGAAAAGCTCCTATCGCAATCGAATCCCTGAAATAGTCTCTAGGGGAGGGGGACCCGAGCGAGACGGAAATGATGTCGACTCCATCGGCGATTGCATCGTCGAACGCGGCCAGGATGTCGGCGTCATGGCAACCATCGGACCAACACACTTTGTACGCCGCAACGCGGGCCGAAGGAACTCCGCCGCGAGCCGTGCCTTGAGCCAGGCCGTATAGGTTGGCCATGCTAACTTCATCTCCGGCTACCGTCGACGCCGTGTGGGACCCATGGCCATCAGAGTCTCTTGGGGATCGCAGATCGCTCGGACCAAATTTGCCGATTGCTCGGTAGTATTTCGCCCCGATAACCTTGCTATAAAAGAATTGGCCGTATGAGCGTACTCATTATCATATGAAATGAATGCATGGTAATTTTGTTGTACTGATTGACCTATAATCTTCTTATTTCTTCTCGACTCTATGGTCTCATCTCTCTGGCTTCCTAATCATGAGCCTCGTGATTTTCCGGATGTAGCTCTATTGCTTTTCTATTTTCCAGAGATTGTGCATAAATGAAGGGAAAAGATTGAGCCTATCGAAAATAGGGTTCTAATTGGCCTTGAAACTATGCATGCCAAGAAAAACACGACCATCTCGTTAAAAGATAAAACTATCAATCAATGGATAGAACGAGTCATATCCATCCAAATTTGTTCACTTTGATTTCTTTAGGTACTTCTTTTTGAGAAAATGTCGATGTGACATCAATCTCTCTACCTGCTTGCAATCATAAATATCGTTGTCGTAGCACATTAAAGCATATACTTTGCGCATAAGATGTATTTATGTAGTATTCTTATGAGGAATATTATTTAATTTATGTACTTGTTGCAGGTAAAATTGGATGAACTTTGACAAGTGCCGGTCCATTTGCTCGGCGGCGGGCCCAGCCCTTGATCACTGAAACTCTCCGATTCCGGCCATATGCCAGAGTCGAGCACTCCGACGATGAGGTCGCCTTCCGTTTTCGATCTCTCCACATGTCGTGAGAAGCCCATGAAGTCCCATGATTTTGTGGTGTGGAGCTGCTTCTTCCGATTGGGAAACACGGACACGACACCCTCCAGTCCTAAGCATCGTGTCCCAGAAATTATTTTTTTTCAGATTGTGCAAGCACGAAGAGAGAAACATACAGAGTAAATTTTGATGCTAATTACCAGCCATCTTCTTCACTTCCTCTTCAGTTAACATTGCTGCAAATCCATTGAAGCTCCTTTTGTAGCTGTGGAGCAGATGCTTTGAGGGAACATCGCTGCACATATTCTGAAAATTCTTATGAAAGTTCGATACGCTCTAGATTAAAATCAAATGGTAATTGCTGCACATATTCTGAAAATTCTTCTGCATGCCTGTGGAGTTGCTACAGATTGGTTTGTACAACCAAAATAAATTATTAGCACTTCTAAATGAGCTAGGTCTAAAATTGGATGAGTTATCTGACCTGCCGGTGATTTTCTGGAGCATGTTGATGTGTTGAGGTGATGCAGAAACATCATTTTTGAGCCGGTTGCCCATGTACACAATGAAGGCCTGGTTGCATATTAGGCAGAGAAGAAAAATCCAATCAATACGGAGAAAAAAATCGGTCAATTTGGAAGTAATGCAAGGCAGTTGAAGCATGTAAGAGAAATGTGCAATTGACTGAGATATTGCTCTTAGCTGGCTGAGTAGAGTTGCTCAGGTGTAACATTGATAGGTTCATACCTCATAAAACACAATGCTAGCATTTTATATATCAAAGGCGGCAGGCATTAATCAATCACAATGAATACTTCTGTTTGAAGGTTCAAGCTGGTTTTGTTCGGTCTATCGAAACGATCTTTAGGCGAGAATTTTGTTGAAAGGAAAAGTATACTTCATGTCAAAATTACGACAAATAGTTAAATGGGAGAAAATTTTCGAGAGAGAAAGATAGCGCGAGCGAGCGGGGGGACCTTGCCTTTCGATCATCTTGGGAGACTATCCCTTTAATTAGTAGAGAGCTACCAACAAGGGCGAGTAGAAGCAATTGGAGGAGGAAAAAATTGGCAGTCGCCATTGAAGAGTGAGTGAAGAAGGATTGCAGTTTCTGTGGTAGTGTAGATGATGAGGAAAACAAGGGTTATATAGCCTCCAAAATGTCTGCTTCTCTATGCGCACCGGCGATTGCTGGTAGTTTCCTATGAACTGTCATAAGTTCATATCGATACGTGTTTCATGGGATGTTTTGTTTCACTTGAAATCGATGTGCTACTTATGCGCAAAATAATGCTATAATTCCACAGAAGAAGCCAATTAAGAGCCGGCTTCATTGACGAAATTAGTCTTCTAGATGAACATCTCTTTCGTCTCTTCAATTTTTTGGGGGGACCAGTCTTAAAATGGGAAACTTCTTTGATTGGACCTTTCGAATGTTCTTCTTTCTTTATTAACTTCAATGTTAGAATTTTTGACCGTTCACCATGGATCTATGTCTTACACTATGACTACTGAAAATTAGTATATTGCTCTTTATATTATAGACTAATCCATACCATACCACTTAATTAAAAAGAATGAAAAGTCAAGCATGTTTTGGGGTACAGGGCCCGACCTTAATGTACCCAGGTCCGGGCGCTGAAGACCTGGGCCGAGGTGCTAGGGAGGTGGGCATGGGCATTGAGTTCTCAAGCTCGGTTTCGGTGGACCCAAGACCAGTGCCTGAAAGCTTGTGCCGGGTTCCTTGGCTACCGTATGTAAGTTACTAACTCCCGAATAGTGAATGTCTATTTAGGAAAATTAAATGAGATTTTCCTTAACAAACGACGGGAAATATTTTTCGGTTTGTTATTAGGTTTCATCCAAACACTGGAAAATATCGTCATTTTCTTAGAAAAATGACTTCTTAGAAAACATTTTACAAAATTGTCACATTTTTTACAAAACAAACGAAGCACTAGTTTTAAAATGGAGAAATTGTGAAGCACTCTAGCGCCTATATTAAAAATAAATATATAAATTTTTGTAATATAGTAACATATAAAAATAAAAGGTACGTTTGTGTATGAAAGAAGCATGCATAAAAGAAAAGAAAACGTGAAGCACTATAGCACTAACATATACATATATACAATATACAATATATTATATGTCGTATGCATAAAAAAACATATATAGTTATATCTATCTTCGTGACAAATTGAGCAACGAGGGGTGTGATAATACTCAAATAGAAAAGAAAAGAAAAGTAAGGACCAAAGACAATTAATTTTGCTGTGCGAAAAGGGTTGAAGGTTGGTGCTAAGCAAGACCTAAAACTATTTTATCTGAATTCTGGGACATAAAAATCGAAGGTATTCTCTAGGGTGAGGGAAGAAAAACTATCCCCTAACTTTGGGGGTAGGGCGTACGGGCACCGACAAAAATCGAGCCAAACCTTGTTAGGACAAATGATATAATTATTATGTATTTATTTTATATTATTGATGTTTGTGTTGCGGAAGCCAAGCGATCGAACAATAATATGACAGAATAAAAAAATAAATTGGACATCAGATTTACATGGTTCGGTCGTAGTGACCTACGTCTACGGGGACAGCAGCACGGAATTCTACTATAGACCAAGCGATACAACGGAAATCACAACCACACTTGAGTCATTCAAACACTTTTAAGTGTTTCCCAAGCCTTAATTATGCCTAATAACTCATGCAGTGTTTAGCCCTACAATTCTCCACGAAATAATATTTCAATCTCGTGAATGAATTACACACCAATCTTACCACAAGATTTACTTAGCCTGAACACAAAATTATTGATGTAATTACACGAACGAAACCAATGCCAAGCGCTCGCGTGAAAAACGACGCTTCGAGATTTTCTTCACGTCAACCGCGGCACTTCAAGACTTCACTCTGCATGACCCACGGAGTAACCCACGATCAAAATAGCCTCTGTACGTCAACGACGGCGCTCTGAAGCAAATCCCACGGTCTAAAGGTGGACCATGACCAGGACAGAAGCACCATGACCATGTCAACACGGAATAGAAAACCGTGAAGTTCGGGCAACAACGTCCAAAGGTGGACTTGTCGTTTTTTTTGAGATATTGTTTGGCCGTGACTTCTACGGGAAATAGGAGTTTGTTTCCACACATTTAGCCACAAGTCCCACGATTTGCTTTCTTTCACGGTCAAAGTCCAATATTCTTTGCACTCCAAAGTGAAAATAAAATTGCCTACAGCTAGTAAACGAAAATTGCCGTATTCTGCTTGCAGGATTCCGAACTTGCGAAGGAAATCCAAATTTCGAAATATTCATATCTCCACGAATAACAATTAATCTTGAATTTTCGTTTCGTTCATGAGCTCAAACTCGTGACATATTTTAACAATCTCTATTTTGGCTCGACATTTGAGCCAAATCACAATCGTTTCTCTACTACTCTTCTACGGCCCCAATGGGCTCAACCGCTACAGACGTCTTTCAAGTTCAAGCCGCGCTTGAATTTCGCTATAATTGTGGACCTCATCAGAAGACCAACTTCACCTGTACCTTTAACTGCTCTATAAGGATTTTCCGACACAACCTCCTCTACCGCAGATAAAGCAAAACATAATTTGCATCCATATAATATGCTCCTTGCATCCATAAAGCAAAGTGAATTGGGAAGCTTGAATAACGCGTAAATTTGAAATTATTAAACAAAATTTAATATGCTCTTGGCATGTTTGATGCATATAATCAACTCGATGACAAATGAACTATGTAATACCTTCTTGGGGGGGTCTCTGTTTCTCCGGATTATGGCTCAGGAAAAACGACAAAATTGGGAAAAATAGAAAGAAAAAAAGAAAATATTGAGTATGTCAAAGATGCGTTTTGTTTCGCTAAATAATGAATGATATGAAATTTTTTTTTTTTTATAGATGTAAGCGATAATTTTTAAAAAAGTATTATTAAAATTATTAATATTTTGCGAAATAAATGGATCGAGACGTATCTCTGTTACGTGGGCTTAAGCTTATTGGACGCCATTATCATTACGGAGACGAATTGGTGGGTGGTTGACGTGGACGGGCCCCCCCACCAGGCTGCCCCGCCCCACCCGACACGACACCCCATGTGACGACTGGCCCGTCGCATTTTTTATTTATTTATTTTGTCCTTTTCTGCCACGTCGGTTTTGCAAAAACGAAAAATTGCGATTTTTCTTCCTTCCTTCCCCCCCTTTTTTTTTTTTCCCGAGTGGCGGAGTCGCAGCTTTTGGCAGCTGCTAGTTGGTGGTTGACTCGGTCAACACAGCCCGTCTTCGGGCTTTGAACGTTTGCGTCTGGTTTGTGTACACACAGCAGATTTCAAATTTCGAAATGATGTTCCGCGAACCTATCGGTTCGATCTGGGAAAAAAGATTTCAAAATGGAATGCCAAACTTTTTTTTTTTTGGCTAGAAATGGAATGCCAAAACTTTGTAGACTTAAAAAATGATCTCCCCTTAACGAAATCGCGATTCGAATTTGAGACTCCCGGTTTGTTAGTGGCTTGGTTCGAATTCGAATTGCGAACGTCGTTTTCGTACCATTACATGGATATTTATCTTAGCAATATAGTGAGGGACATGGAAGTCTGTCCATTCTAAGTTCCCCGAACGACTTTCCTTGAAGGCTCTTTCGTGGCGATCTTGACCGGTGTGGGGGAACCTTTTGGTACACTTAATGCTAACGGTTGTAGGTTGAGGGTGGAGTTATGAAGATTATGAGAGGTTCACTTTTGTTGATGAAGTGGTTGAAAACTGGAACTTTGTATCAGTTGCATGGTACTATAGTTATTAATTCAGCTATGTCTCATCCGCTATGACATAATCAGAAAACACTAAATTATGACATATGAGTATTAGAGGGATGAATGTCATGAGTAAGAGAGGTATTCTATGTGGTCAGAAAATTGAAGAACTGGATTTCTATGACCATTGTGTTTTTTGGAAAACAGAAAAGGGTCAATTTCAAAACAGGAATTCACACAACAAATGACACTTTGGATTATCTACAAATGACCATTGCGAATGCTATGGATGATGACCCGAGACTGGGGAATCCTCGAGGCAATAGAGGTGTATCAACCGGCGAGTAAGCCTTCGCCGGACTCTTTTGGCCCCTAGTGATTCTCTCCTCTTGTTGCTCCGTGACGTGCAGCGGTCGGACAATTGTTTTGGTGGAGGGTGGTTCCTCGGACGGACCCAACGGACTTCAAGAATCCTCTTTCCTCGGTTGTTGATTACGGTTCAATTTGAAAAATTTGTCTAACCATACCATAAATAATTAGGCAAACGTTTGTGTTTAGTTTGTCTATTTCGAGATTTTTCCTGAACGGTTAAAAAAATATCAAGTATCGGGTCCGTGAGATTAACTTAGCAATAAATAATTGGGTTAATACCACGAAAAACCCTAAGCTGGTACACTTGTGACACATTTACCCCAAACTATTTTTTTGACCACAAAAAACCCCAAACTGGTACACCTGTGACAATTTTACCCCGAACTTACCACAAAAAACCCTAAACTGGTATACACGTGACAATTTTACCCCGAACTAATTTTTTAATATTATTTTTTATTTTTTATTTTTTTGAATTTTTTTCTTCATCTTCAACCTCTAGCCGGTCACCCCGGTCGCCGGACAGGCGACCGGCCAGAGGCGGATGCCTGCAAGGTTGGCCCCGCCGGCCGCTGGCGAGGCTCGACCTTGCCGGCGTGGGCGAGGGCTGCCCTTGCCCAACGCAGGCGAGGGTCGCCCTCGCCAAATCCGGCGAGGGCAGCCCTCGCCCGACTCAGGCGAGGGTTGCCCTCGCCCCCCCCCGGTGAGGGCTGTTCTCATCCGACGCCGGCGAGGGCAGCCCTCGCCCGACGCAGGCGAGGGTCGCCCTCGCCAGATGCCGGCGAGGGCGACCCTCGCTTGCGTCGAGCGAGGACAGCCCTCGCTCGACTCAGGCGAGGGCTGTTCTCGCCCGCCCAGGCGAGGGCTGCCTCGCCCGACGCCGGCGAGGGCGGCCCTTGCCAGCGGCCGGCGGGGTCGACATCGCCGGCTTCCGCCTCTGGCCGGTTGCCGGTCCGGCTACCGGCCAGAGGTTGAAGATGAAGAAAAAAAAGAAAAAAAGAAAAAATTAATAAAAATTCGAAAAAATAAAAAATAATATTAAAAATTTAATTCAGGGTAAAATTGTCATATATGTACCAGTTTGGGGTTTTTTGT